ATACGTTGATTTCAAGGAGTCAATGCCATATTTGTCCGAGACAGACACCAAAGGTGTTTGGCAACTGTGACGGCACATGTTGACGTCTTTATCAAGTGTCCAGAAACTGTAGCAGACCCAGAGCGAAAAAAGCATGCAGTGCCGTCTATTACCAGAATCTTTCATTCTCAAAATTAAAACGACAAGCTAGAAGTGGAACTGTATTTTTTGGCAGGAGAAAGCTACGACCCGAAGTGTGAGGTCCACCAAAAATGGCATGCAACAAGTGTCATCTCGACGATTTTCTGGCATTGTGCTGTATTAAAGTCATTCTTAACGTCTAAAGCAACAATAAGGCAAAGGTTATGTAGCTGCCGCTTTGTTGAAACTGTATGCCAGTTCGCATTGTCAGCCGGGTCACCACTGTGGCCGCTAGATGCCACCGATTCTGGTGCTGTACGGTCTACTCGCCATTGAAAAAACTAGCAACATAGCTTTCGTTGGTCCGATCATAGACTGCCAACCATCCATCGACTTACAGTTGTTATGTGCCGAAAGCGAACATATACAGGGCGGCCCATCCATGTGTGGACGGAATATTACTCATAAACAAATACATTTTGGGACAATCTATTTATGGCATGTTATATATGACAGTTGAGGGCACATTTCTAAAATATTGGCCATTAAACAGGGTGTCCCATTTTCGACCTACATATAAAAGTTGTGAGTTTTCAAATGGAATGCCTCAAGTTTTATTGCATATTTGGATAGACCAAATCAAAGTAAGAAAATTGATATAACATACTATGAGGTTTTGGTAACACTGATCAACAGCCAAAAAATATCCTAAATAAAATCAACATAATATTACTATTTTTAATGTGCTAAAACCGGAATGAAACTTATTTTTTCAATATTAGTTCAAGTTTTAGAGATACGGTAATTATATGTGTTCCTGCTGTGACAGTGTTAATATACTGTAATTCACAAGAATGCACGTGCTACATTTTTATATTCGGCAAGGAAAGATGATGTAATCGGCATGATTGTGTTACGTTATACATACGTGTACATTATATTGTTTTATATTAGCCATTTTTTCCTCAGTTGGCTGACAGCGTTCATGCAAGATGTCTCGAAAGTGTGTAAACAATCCAGATCAGTTTTGTTACGTGTGAGGTGATGTGACTTTTGCGTCTCAGAGACGGTCTATTACTCCACTAATAACAAAGGCATATCAGCTTTATTTCGGTTGTAAACTAGGTGATCAAGACAAACAGTGGGCACCCCACATCTGCTGTAATACATGTGCTTCAAGTCTGAGGAGCTGGTTAAATGGCAAAAAACGGTCTATGCGCTTTGCTGTCCCAATGGTTTGGAGAGAGCCTACAAATCATATTAATGATTGTTACTTTTGCATGGTACCTTGTGTTGGACAAGCCACAGGTATGTCCAAAAAAAAATCGGTTATTAACTACCCAAACATACCATCTGCGATGAGACCTGTGCCTCACAGTGACGAAAATCCTATCCCAAAACCCCCAGAATCCTACACTTGCGAATCAGAAAACGAATCAGATCATGGCGATCGAGTGATTCGTCAGGAAGAAGATATGCCATCAACGTCAAGAGATCCTGATTTTATACCGAGCACGTCATGCCACCAACCGCACAAAATAACACAGTCAGAATTAAATGATCTTGTAAGAGATTTAGAACTTCCAAAATGTAAGGCAGAGTTACTTGGATCAAGACTGCAGCAGTGGAACTTGTTAGAAGACGATGTTTCGGTATGTGTTTTTCGTAAACGCCACAAAGACTTAGAACCATTTTTCAATATGGAGAATAACTTGGTTTTCTGCAGTAACATTAACGGCTTACTGGCGGCTTTAAATATAAACTATAACCCAGAAGAATGGAGATTGTTTATAGACAGTTCAACATTGAGCTTAAAGGCAGTGTTATTGCATATTGGAAATATTTTACCATCTCTTCCTGTAGGGTATGCAGTTCACATGAAAGAATCATATGACAATATGAAGTACCTATTGACATGCATAAAATACGATAAGCACCAATGGCATATTTGTGGCGATTTGAAAGTTGTTGCACTTTTACTTGGGCTGCAGCTAGGCTACACAAAGTTTTGCTGTTTTTTGTGTGAATGGGACAGTCGGGCAAAGGCACTTCATTACACCAGACAAAACTGGCTTGTTCGTCAATTCCTAGAGCTAGGTCAAAAAAATGTACAGCATATGCCATTAGTAGATTCGAAAAAAAAATTATTACCACTACTGCATATCAAGTTGGGCCTAATGAAAAACTTTGTCAAGGCATTAGATAGAGATGGGTCAGCTTTTCAATACCTGCGTCAGAAATTTCCAAGACTAAATGAGGCAAAGGTTAAAGAAGGTATTTTTGTTGGGCCACAGATTCGAAATATTTTGAAAGATACACAGTTTGAAAACACTTTAACAGGTATTGAAAAAACTGCTTGGAATAATTTCCGTCTGGTGGTCACTAATTTCTTGGGAAATAGAAAAGCTGACAACTATAAAACCCTTGTCAAAAATATGCTGTCATCGTATCAAAAGATGGGCTGTAATATGTCTCTTAAGATACATTTCCTACACTCACACCTGGACTTTTTTCCTGACAATTGCGGAGCCGTAAGTGATGAGCACGGCGAACGTTTTCATCAGGATATTTCAACAATGGAAAAAAGGTACCAGGGAAAGTGGAATCCTTCCATGCTTGCAGAATACTGTTGGACTCTTGGTAGAGATGCTCCAGAAACGATCCATAAAAGAACAGCAAAAAGACAGCGCATATAGTGATAATTATAAGTATATGAATCTTGTTACTTTTTTTAATATATCCTTAAAAATAATTTTTTTTTTCGAAACCGCAACTAATTTTTTTATTTCATTGTCATTTTTGGATTCAGCACCCCAAAATTAACAAAGAAGTGCACTTTTCCCACAAGATACAATTAAAAAACTAAAATTTGTTGTCCAGTGTAATTAGCTATTGAGATATTAGGTGTTTTGTCTAGAACCACCCCCCACTTCGGCAACCCCTGAGTTTACCATTTTGGAAATTGAAGTGCTGAATTTTGTATCAAAAAAACTTACACACCTCAGCTTTTATCTTTTATGTTACTTTTTAGAATTTTAATTTTTGCTCACACAGGGTGGTCAAAAACGCAAATTGTAGTTTTTCTTAAAAATTTCAAATGAATCACCCTGTATATTTGTGCAAGTTTGGATTCAATTTTTTATAAGCTTTTTTTGATATTAAACACATAAGAGCTTTTACGGCAATTTTTTCGGTTATTAGCACGTCTTTTATGGAACGGCTTAATTCCCTAAAATATCGCATCATCCTTGGAAACAAATAAGTTGTTGATTAGTTACAAAGTGTCAAAATTAGCTTTGTGATCATTATGTAAAAACATTTTTGAAAATGATTTTTTCTAAAGAAGAAATGGTGAATATGGAACACTTTCCTAGGATCTCGCATTTATAGGCAACGGTACCTTAATATGCGACATCCAAGGCCGGAAACATTTTCCACACTACGAGAACGTTTTGAATCAAGTGAAGCAGTGGAATATAGTAAAAAATGTATAAATAATCCAAGTGTCACCAATGTCAGTTGGAGGTTGCATGAAAATCCTCATTTAAGTGTACGGAAAATTGGAGCAGAAACTGATATATTATGCAGAACGTCTGTCCAAAGGATTATTCACAAGCATAGGTACCATCCATATCACCTATGCTTGTATCAAGGTCTTGGTCCTCAGGATTTCGCAACTCGAATGGAGTTTAGTAGAATAATGCTAAATAAAGTGAATGAAGACACTTTTTCTGGATAAAACACCTTACATCTCAGTAGCTAATCACCAAAACCCCATAGTATGTCATATCAATCTTCTTCTTTTGAATTGGTTTATCGAAATATGCAATCAAATTTGAGGCAATCCATTTAAAAAATCAAAACTTTGATATGTAATGTAGGTCAAAACTGGGACACTCTGTGTAATTGAAAATATTTTATAAGCGTGCCCTCAACTGTCATGTATAACATGCCATACATAGATTGTCCCAAAATGTATTTGTATATGAGTAATATTCAGTCCACACATGGATGGGCCACCCTGTATATATGTTCTCAATATAAGACTGACGAAGTCAGCTTCCCGTTTAATTTCTTCCAAGTCTTGTAAAGGAATAATCAAAAAGGATCATTTTTAGAGCATATTTTTCCTTTATCATCCATCTTGCCTGAAAAAAAAAAACCTTGGACGTTCACTAAGTGTTTACGGTCTCACCTCCTAAGTAAAGTAGTGAGAGTTTTGATAACTCTTTCAAGCCTTCTAATGGACTACTTTTGATACACTTTGGATCTAGTTAGTCATTATCACGCGTTGTTCCTCTTGAAATTCTTATGCAGGTGTTTATTTATCTGACTTTGTTGTGAATTATTTCTCATCAATAGTAACCCACAGACTTTGGAAAATCGGAAATATCTGGATGTCAGGACCAATTGATGACCATAACACTTCTCCCTCAGTATCAATTTATGTGTATGATGACAGCAATAATGTTCCTATGAATTCCTTTCCTATTCTCGTTCCCAAACGACGCGACTACTAGCAGTAGTTTATGATGAAAGCTGTCAATGTGCTCCAGGTCAAACTTCTATATACGAGGGATGTCTCTTAGGTTTTGCATATAGAAACATAGTAAGCCGCGCTTATCGATCATCAGTACTGAATCTTAACCTCACTCTTTAGTAAACTTAAATTCAAAGTTTCACAACATTACGTGCAGTGTTCTCACTACAGTGAATTTTTAAATATCACCAAGTCATTAGAAAAATGGAACTCGGCCGAGAACATTTTCGCGCCACAATTTATTACAACTTTCAGAGACAATTATCCCAATAAAAATGCCTTGCTGAGTTACTGTCTGTTGAATTCTTGGACCATCCACCATGTAGTCCCGAGTCCTAACGATTTCTTTACTTTCACGAAAATTAAAAACAGACTTCGTGGTCAAAGGTTCCAGTCACCGGAAGAAGCAGTTGACGCATTCAAAAATGCCGTTTTGGATCTGCCAGCAAACGAGTGGAATAAGTGCTTCGAAAATTGGTTCGAGCCCATGCAGATGTGTATTAATCTTTGTGGAGAATACTTCGAAGAACAATAAAGTCATTTAAAACTACCTACCGTGTTGTTTTATTTCCATATGCAAAACTTAAAAGACGTATTGTCCAATCTTTATGAAATTTGCTAAGCATATTCTCTATACCACTGAGACACAGAAGAGTCATATGCTTCGTAAATAAAGAATCGCCATAAAAATCAGTGTATATGTTCATGTTCGTACTTTGCACTAGTTTTGAACTCAATGCACACAGTTCACAGCTTTTACATGTAACTTATCACCGAACGATCTTTTACAGCATGTTTTCTTACGGTTTTCTCTTCTCCGGAAATCTACCACAACGCCACGGGAACGGTCAGTGAAATGAAAGGAAATGTTTCGGTATCAGAAACACGAAATGACAAATATACTAAGTGACATATAAATCCGAACACCCAGTTTAAATGGTTTTATTTTAATAAAAGTTGGTGAATGTATTTATCTTACTGTAAATAACAAGTGAAAAAATGTTCAGCCTTATCAGTTGGACATTCCGGTTTTTATACTGCTTTTTTTTAATTCACTAACGCTCTAAAAATGAATATTTCAGCCGCAGTAAAGAATCAACGTTGGCGGATTTTGGTTCGGTTACGGTGCCTAGAGTACGGAGACCTGTACGATTTCGTCAACTTAGTGAGTTTGATAGGGGCCGTATAGTGGGACTTCGGGAGCTGGACTTTATTTTCGGGCAATTGCAGTTAGAGTGCAAAGAAGTGTAGACACTGTGGTTAGGTGTTGTCAGGCATGGCTTCGAGAAGGCCGTACGCAAAGAGCAAGGAGCACTGGACGCCGCCATAGAACAACAGACCGCCTAAGATTATTGGCCTTAAGGGACCGTTTCTCCACTACCAGGTCCATTGCAAATGAATGGTTTGCAGAACACGGAAGACCTATTGGCATGCGAAGTGTTTACCGACGAATGCGAAGTTTTGGCTTGTTTTCATACCGGCCACACTGGGTCCTCCCTTTAACTCGAGAACACCGACGTAATCGCCTTGAGTGGTGCAGACAGCGGTCACTCTGGGATCAGGAATGGAACAGTATTTTCTTTAGTGACGAGTCTCGATTTTGTTTAGGCATGCACGATGGTCGTGCCAGGGTTAGAAGGCGACGTGGTGAAAGGAGGAATCCACAGTTTTTTGTTGAAGGACATGTTCATCACACTGTTGGAGTTATGGTTTGGGGTGCTATAGCTTATGGTTCCAGGTCACCTTTAATCTTCATCAGAGGTAACATGAACGCGCAGCGTTATATCCACGAAGTTCTAGAACCCCATATTTTACCCTATCTTGACACCCTGGCAGATCCAACTTTCCAACAAGATAATGTCCGACCACATGGTGCAAGAGTCACAATAGACTTCTTTCAACATAATGATGTCACATTGTTACCATGGCCACCAAGATCTCCCGACTTATCCCCAATTGAGCATGTGTGGGATATGATAGGTAGAAGATTGCTCAATTTGCAACGTCCTCCTTAGACTCTAGAAGCACTTCGAGAGGAGTTGGTGGTTGCCTGGAATGAGATACCACAGGAGGACATTGACCACCTGATCAGAAGCGTGCCTAGGCGCGTTGGAGAATGCGTAGCACATCAGGGTGCATCCACACATTATTAAAGGTCAAAGGGCTTTAAAGCAGTGCAATCATTTTGAAATTTTTATCATTTACTTATTATGCTTCATTAAGTAATTATACAAAATTTTATTAAAATAAAACCATTTAAACTGGGTGTTCCGATTTATATGTCACTTAGTATATTTTATACTCTGGGAGGCTAAAATTCAGATTGAATCAAGTCAGAGCGATTCAAAGACGGAAACTTGTATCAAAAGAAAACGCTATAAGTTTCAAAGGTTACACGCTGGCTTGGATCATCCTGTATTTAAAGCATATTATCTGATTAATAAAATTGCTCCATATATTTGCACAGCAATAACAAGAACTCTCTGAACCATATCTAGGTACTATGCATACTGTCACGATAGTATTGTTATAGCCGATGCACAAATAACAGTATTTGTACAGGTAGTTCTTATCTCCCGCAACAAAATTGCAAACAAACTATATCATAATAGCCAAGATGTCGACCCATGAGATAATCCTGAAATGTTGGACGTGATTGTATATAAATCGCAAGATTAGGGATAATGGGGCATAAGAACACGACTGGATTTATTTTCATGGGCAAATGCGTATTTCAAGATCAATTTAAAGAATATTGTTCTGATATATCTTCCCATAATTCTTTGTGGTATGGCGCAATGTGTTATGGAATCGCCGAGACCGTGGATAAAGAGGAAATGTGTTTTCGTTCTACACAGTCATATCGTGACTTATAGAATATATGAAATTGGACAATTGAGAACATCATAGATAAATAGCTATCGCAGGTGTTATGAGAACGAATAACCAAGGAGTGGATGAGAGAAAATGACACAATGCCGTCGTTGATTCAACACAAGTTAGGCTCTATGAGAAAAAGGCTATTTATGATCATGTATAAGAGAGTCAAATGGATCAAGTCAGTCAAACAGGCGCATATAGATAACCTGTATACATACCTGACCACACAATACGTCAGAATCAGCAGCGCAGTACTATAGTAGGGCACTTATCATGATTTTGGAACTCATTCCAACATATGATTGATCCATGTACAGGCGTTGACCTCCTATGGATTGAAACATTCATTTACCTATTCTATGTTGTTATTTAATGGAGTAAATAAATGTCGTCTACTGCTACAACTTACCGAGACTGACACGCTGACCGGTGAACTCAGAGAGCAGAAGCAGAGACGCGGTCTTTATTGTTTATTTCGGTTTTCTTTTAATTTATAGGGCAAAGCCAATACGCCATAAGCTTTTTGTAGGGAGTTGCCTACCTTACGGAGTGGGCATTTGTTGCTTAACATGCTGAAACTTCCGTAATTTAAATTTTTAGTTTTCAACGAATAAATAAAGTCTCTAATACTCAGTATAGTTGATTCAAGATTTATAAAAATATGAAAGTTCCAAATATGAGGTTTGTATACTGTTGAGGGTAAGTATGTTAGGTCATAGAAATGGATAACGTTCGTCACAAGTTAATTTGTTTTTGGTCATTAATTAAGAGCGAGTATACCAGGTGTTTTAAATTCGACCGTCACCATTCGGAAACGGTAAATGATACGAGGTTGCTTTGAATAGAGGCAAAATTACATATTAGAGAATTTCGAAATTCAATGTACGAGCCCCTTCCAACTTCAGTTGGCACAACTATTGAAATCTTAGTTTTTTTCTTATCAAACACAAATAATAAAAATGTAGCAGGTTTAAAATATTAACAATGAATATTTTGATAATATATAGTAGAAAACACCAACTTTATCACTCCCTAATCAAATTTGCAGCATAAAAATTACACATGTTGCAATTACAGCATATCAACCTATTTTTATTTCAATGCAAAGTAATTCTATAACGCGGTACAGTGTGAGAAATATTGTTAGAAGATATAACGTAACTGGTCCAGTTAATATTAAGCCACGAGATGTGAAAAAAAGTAATATCGCAAATGCCGACCGAAGAGCATTAAGAAGAATAATCGTGAAAAACAGGCATGCCAATTATTTACAATTAAGTGTTTTGTGGGGTGACGCTGTTGGAAGCAGAATTTCGAGGTCTACAACTCATAGAGAGGCCCACAAACGGGGATTTAGCACTTGCAAGGTAAGTTTTCTTATAAAAAAATTGAAGTAAAAACCCTAAAGTTGCACAACTTGATTATAGGCTAAAGAAAAGACACTATTAACTCCATTGCAAAACAAAAATCGGCTTAGATGGGCTAAAGAACATAGACAATGGACACCTCAACAATGGTGTGCAATACAATGGAGTGATGAGGCCCGATTCGAAGTTTGTGTTGTGACAGTCGTAGTAGAGTTATTCGCAAAAAAATGAAGCATTCCATGTTGACTGTCTGAAGAGAAAAGTGAAATTTCCATCATCCATTATGGTCTGGGGAAGTATGTCATTAAAAGGAGTAGGAACACTTCATTTTATTGATGGAAATGTGGATACAAACAAATATTTGGCAATTTTAGAAGAATCGCTTTTCCACTGATGGAAGAATGTTTGGCATCAGGCCAAGATTTTGTTTCAGCAAGATGGTGCAGCGTTCCATACCTCAAAAAAGGCTATAAAATGGATGGAAGAAAATAATGTACCACTTTTGAAATGGGATTCTAGCAGTCCAGATCTGTCACCTATTGAAACTTTGTGGCACGAGATGAAAAAGGTTCTACGACAACATCCTGCTCGTACAATCACCGAACTGAGACAAAAGCTTCAAGAAATATGGGATTGTTTTACACCAAATTTTTGCCAAAACCTGGTTAACACTATGCCCCAAAGAATTTCAGCCGTAATAAAAAATAAAGGTGTTGTTACCCAATGGTAATCTTTCAATTGTTGCTTTGTTAACTTCGCGCATTTATTCGCACATTGTTTATTTGTTCAGATGTTCTATTAGTTATAGGTCTAAAATGTTTTTGAGAAAATAAATTATTTTAGAACTAAATAGTTTCGTCATGTTTAGTTTATAAAGGCATATTTTGCTACAAATCTTGAAGTGGGCCCACTGAAGTGGGAAGGGGCTCGTAGTTCCAGAGAGAGACAGAGAAAGCCTTTTGTCCTGCAGATGAATAGGGTTTTTAATTCTGATTCCAAAAATGTATAACGTGTCATTCACTGATATTGCCAAACCTTGCTTATTTAAAAAAAAAAACAGGTTTTCCCAAGTAGGCTCTGAAATTATATTGTTTATCGCAAAATCATTTTTTTCCATACTTTATTTGAGATGGGATTTCAAAATAAATTGCATATTGTCATTGTCACTGCTTCTGATCTACAAAAAAGGCGTAGTCAAGTTTTCAATTCAAAACTTATAGGATATATTACTTATATGTGAAGTTTAT